TTTAAACTACAAAGATTCGCATTGCATTCCCGTAGTTTTCCACAATTTATCCGGGTATGACGCGCATTTCATTATCAAAGAAATAGCTACCGCGTACGATGGAAACGTAGATTTACTTCCGGTAACAAAAGAAAAATACATTTCATTTACCAAGCATGTAAAAAGTACCGCGGAAATAAAAAATAATAGAGAAATTTGCATACAATTACGATTTATTGACTCATACAAATTTCTCAGTTCAAGTCTCGAAAAATTGGCTTCATATCTCACGAATGATAAACTACGGATAATGCAACGCGAATTTTGTAATTTATCTGCTGAGCATTTCGAATTACTGACGCGAAAAGGCGTGTTTCCGTACGAGTACATTGACTGCTTTGAAAAGTTGGAGGATACGCATTTACCATCGCGCGAATCGTTTTATAGTTCGTTGACGGACAACACTGTATCCGAGAGCGACTACGAGCACGCGGTCAACGTATGGCAGCAGTTCTCAATTCAAACGCTCGGAGAGTATAGCGACTTATACCTAAAAACGGATGTCTTATTGCTGGCCGATATTTTCGAAAACTTTCGCGACAGTTGTATCACAAGTTACGGACTCGATCCCGCGCATTATTTTACGTTACCAGGTTTCACATGGGACGCCATGCTAAAATTCACGGGTATTAAATTCGAACTTCTCACTGACATAGACATGGTCATGTTTATCGAGCGCGGTATATACGTGGAGGCCTGAGTCAATGTTCCGGCAGATATGCGCGGGCCAACAACAAATACATGTCTTCGCACGACCCATCGAAACCATCTTCATACTTGATGTATTTCGATGTAAACAATTTATATGGCTGGGCAATGTGTCAACCATTGCCCTATGCAGATTTTCGATGGGTCAGCGACATAACAAAATTTAATGTTATGAATATCGCGTTGGATTCGCCAATAGGCTATATTCTCGAGGTTGATTTAGAGTATCCGCAACATTTACATGACGCGCACGCCGACTTACCATTCTGTCCAACGCGTGATAAGCCACCCGGTAAGAAGCAAGAAAAGCTCCTCGCGACTTTACGTGATAAGAAGCGATATGTAATTCATTATCGCAATTTGCAGCAATGTACTCGTCATGGTCTCCGTATCACAAAAATTCATCGCATATTGCAATTCGCTCAGATCGGAAGAGCACACGTCTGAACTCC